GCTAGTGCTACTGCCACTGCTACTGCGACTGCGACTGCCACTGCGACTGCCGCTGCTACTGCTACTGCTACTGGTCTGCTGCTACTGGTCTGCTGCTACTGCTGCTGCTACTGCTACTGCTACTGCTACTGCTACCGCTACCGCTACCGCTACCGCTACCGCTACTGCTACTGCTACTGCTACTGGTCTGCTGCTGCTGCTGCTGCTGCTGCTGCTGCTACTGCTGCTACTGCCACAGCAACAGCAACAACAGCAACACCAGCAACAACAACTACTATTCCTGCTGCTGCTACAAGGAGGAAGACGACAACCAAGATGCTCATATAGAGATGAAAGCCATGAAAGCAATCAGAATTAATTACACCCCCATTCGCAACCATGCATGTTGGAAGGCTGGTTGAAATAATGCACGAGAATCATTAACCCACAATCAGATCATACTGATACTCTGCTTGTAGTAACCGCAAGAACAAAAGTGGCATCCATGCTAGTCATAATGATGTTCGGGTGTTGGGTTCGGAGCGTCAATTCTGCGAGAGCAGCAACCTAGATGGCAGAGAGCCCTTCAATGCCTGAGCACCTAGGGTTACCGCTTTAGGGTTTAGTGTTTGGGATTTGGGTCCAACTGGAAGACCCAAACCCAACCCTAACCCCTAAGCCCTAAACCCAAAACCCTGAACCCTAAACCTAAGCACTGTAGGGCTGGATGCTCTTGACCCTGGTGCTGTAGGGGTTTCGTGGCATGGGTATTAAGACACCTTCTTAGTTTAACGTTGTATTGTTTTACTCTTTTGTATTCTTGCTATCACTGTAACATTAACCACTATTATTACTAGGAGAGAATCGCCAAAACCCTAAACCCCTGCCCCTAGGCCTCTTTGCTTTTGTTGCTTGGGTTTAGGGTTTAGGGGAGAAACCTTTGAAATCCTGACCTCCGGAGCAGTCGGGATCCCATCCTGCTGTCCTTATGGGGTCGGCCCTCTAGCCGAAGCCTTTCTGAGCTATTTGGGGACTTACGGGGTTTGCGGTGTAGGGTTTACGGTGTGGGCTTACGGGTGGGGTTTGGGGTCGACTTGAACTGAAGTTTGGGGTTGAGGGGTTCGGTAAGGCTTTTAGTGTTGTACTTGAGCCGTGCTGCCCCTAAGCCCAAAGCCCCACACCTTGGCCCTACGTCGCGCAAGGTGGGAAGTGGCTTATGCCCTCTCGCACTACCGCGCGAACGACGGTCACCCCGTGGTGGCTTGGCTGGGTTCGGACTCCTAATTCGGACTTCCGTGACCTGCATCGAGTAGAGTAGTGCCGCTGTAGAGCCCAAGAAGCTGCTGCAGTTCAACGGCACTTCAGTTCCAAGAAAGCCGGTGTCTGTCTAGTATACCGGCCGGAATGGTAAGACTAGAGCTTTGGGGTGTATTACAGTGCATTCATTAGCAGGAACCGTAACAAAGAAGTCCCCCCTAGTCCTGGTAGTGGGATGAAGTCATGCGGGGCAACCCAAAACCCTACCAACATGGTGTTCCGGATCCTGCAAAGATGCTGCAAAGGGAAGATGGCACAAAGCCCCAAGACACAGAGTTAGAGTCGTTAAAGGACTCAAAGCTGTCTGCAGGGTTCAGGGTTTAGTTTCTGTCGTTTCCTTGCTCGTCCTCCGCAGCACTCAATTGCGGCAGCTGGCCACGGGACTGAAATTGGCCAAGCCTTTGCCGAATTAGTGGCTTGAAATAATGGCTCTTATTCATAAGACCTCCATGTGACTACATGTTCCTTTTGCTTCTTCTTAATTTATGATTTTATTTTGTTGTTTCCTTCCTTTGTTTTCCTTGGTCTACACGGGCTCTTTGTTTTCTTATTTCCAACGTAAATAGTAATATGTTGATCTAAATTTCAATCAGTTTTTGTCGCTCGGTATTTGTCCTCTGCTTTTTCATGTTTCTTCTCCGGGTGTTTCATTCTTCAGTTTTTTTCTTCATATTTTTTGGCGTCTTTGTTTGGCCTCGTTGTTGCTGTCGGCTTCCTTGCCATCTCCTTTTTTGTTTTTGTTTTTAATTCCTGTTCTGCTTCGTTTCTGTTCTCATTTGTTTTGCATGCCGGTTTCCATTTATTTTTGCTGCTGTTTCGGACTATTTCCCTAACTAAATGATTTCCACGAATTCCAACGCTAGCTTTCCTATCGACAACATAAAATCGCCCCTGCAGCGGCTGAAGCCAGGACCTCCTTGGTCTGTCAAAACAAGACGAAATTCAGGGGTTTAGGGTTTAGGGTTCAGGCTTTAGGGTTTAGGGTTCAGGGTTTAGGGTTTAGGGTTTAGGGTTCAGGGTTTAGGGTTTAGGGTTTAGGGTTGCCAGGCCCAGCGCAGCTTTTCGTTTTTGGAGTTTTCATGAGGTCCCGGGGAGAGGGCTGTTGGCAACCTCCCTAATCGCTTTATCCCCTGGTCAGGTGTCTTGAGGGTCCGCGTTTTAAATATGTAGGGTTCTTATATTAGGGGTTCCGGTTTTGTCTTTGCAGCCCTTAGCATATAAGTCCGACTACATAAAAGTTTTTCAGCTTTTGGTTGGCAGTGTCCTTCATGTTGTGAAACTCCCACACGAACACTAAAGCGTAGAGCCAGTGCCCCAAGCCCTAAAGCCCCAAAGCCCTAAACCTTCAACCCTAAACCCTAAACCCTAAACCCTAAAGCCCTCAACCCTAAAGCCCTAAACCCTAAACCCTAAACGCCCTAAACCCTAAACCCTTCAGCCCTAAACCCCCAACCCAACACTGGGCCTTCGGATCTTGGGCTCCAAACCCGAACCCAAAAGCCGTGAGCCCAAGAGAGCACTGAAGCAAACAGTCCTACACGATACGGTTTAGGGTTTAGGGTTTTGGGGTTTAGGGCTTGGGGTTTAGGGTTTAGGGTATCCTATACCCGAGACCCCAGCTGCTCGACCAAAAGCGGCTTTTTCGTACGAGTTGGGTTTGCTTAGGCCTGTCTCGTGAGACGTGCGAGATGTGGCATCGTTGGGCCTTCTGTGAGTGTTGATGCACACTGGAGCACTTTGAGCACCTGCACCCCCCCTCCCCCCAAACCCGAAAAAATCAACGCTTCAACATGCTAAGAAACAGAATCCCGAATCTCAGAGAAAGCCCTTTCCCTAAATTCCTGATGTAAACTCCAACGCCGTAAGACCTGAACCCTATAGTTTAGGGTTTGCACTTAGCATTTTATCAACTTTAAATTCTCAAACCCTGCGCACTTCCATCAAGAGCCCCACAGCCCAAACCGAAGCCCCAAACCCTCCAACCTCAACCGTTCATAATTCTTAGCCGAAATCGTGGAACCCAAAGCCGTAAGAAAGATCCGGAAGCAAGAGGCACAAGAACAGCTGAGCCCTTCAACCTAAACCCGAAACCCAAAGCCGTAAACCCCAAAGCCTGAAAACCCCACCCTATAACCCCTAAACACTTACGTTTTGGACCCTAAACCCTAAACCCTAAACCCTAAACCCTGAACCCTAAACTCTAAACCCTAAACCCTAAACCCTAAACCCTAAACCCTAGAATCCCAAAACAGAGAAGCCGAGGACGAGATGGTGCTAAGGCGCCTCCTCGGCTCCGCGGCCGCCTCCAGCGTTTGGCAGCTGGGTGCCTCCGGCCTTTCAGTTCAGGTTTTCAGGGTTCAGGGTTTAGGGTTTAGGCTTCAGGGTTGAGGGTTGAGGGTTCAGGGTTGAGGGTTTAGGGTGCAGGGTTGAGGTTTTTGGGGTTGAGGGTTGCGGGTTTAGGGTTCAGGGTTTAGGGTTCAGGGTTGAGGGTTTAGGGTTCAGGGCTGAGGGTTTAGGGTTCAGGGTTGAGGGTTTAGGGTCTAGAGTTTAGAATGTATGGTTTAGGGTTTAGGTTTTTGGGGTACTTTGTATTACAGTTCTAGTAAGGAACCTTAAGGGATCATATTGGTAACTGTTTAGGTTGAGGGGTGTAGGTTTAGGGGTTTAGGGTTCAGGGTTTTAGGGTTCAGAGTTTAGAGTCAAGGGTTTAGGGTTTAGGGCTCAGGGGCGAGGGTTTAGGGGTTTAGGGAGAGTCGCTGCAGACCGGACGCAAAAAAAGGGAAGGGCGTAAAGACCCGAAGCCCTCGGCACTTAGCTCGTAATCAAGTAAGGGGCATGAGCAGCTACTTCTCATTGCCTAGAGCCCGAAAGCCAAGATACTTATAATATATTTGGGGTTTAGGGTTCAGGGTTTAGGGCTTATGGCTGCCGGCATAAAAAGGGTTATAAGCCCAAATAAAGGTCTTTAGACGTTGCAAACCCGAACGCCTAAGCCCTCATCTCCACACCCTCAAAGCCGGAACCCTAAACTCCCCCACAGCCACGCCCTCCCATCTTCCTCGAAAGCCTCAACCCTGGGGGTACCCTACGGGTGCTTCACTTCGTCGTACACTGGGTCACCTTCAATATTTGTTTTGCGCCCTATCTGATCCCAAAGGTTGACTTTGAGTTCCCGAAACCCCCAAACCCTAAACTCCCAAAGCCCTAAACCAAAAACCCCTAAACCACTAAACCCTAAACCCCACACCCCCAAACCCTAAAAACCCTAAACCCCAAACCCCCAAACCCTAAACCCTAAACCCCCAAACCCTAAAACCCCAAACCCCCAAACCCTAAACCCCTAAAACCTAAACCCCTAAACCCGAAGCCTAAAACCCTAAACAGTAAGGGCTTTCGGGTCTTTAAGCTTGAGGGCTTGTAGGATCGGGAGGCTAAAAACCGGCAGGTCC